TAGCATGGGAATACAACAATGACAAGTTTTTAAAAAAAGGCCAATAGACTCGGTCAGATATGACTTGTCTGGAGTCAGTTGAAGTCAGTTGAAATCAATTGAAGTCATTTGGAGTCAAGTGAAGTCAGTTGGCGTGTTGAAGTCTGGAGTCCGCTGTTTCCCCCTTGAGTAAACCACTCTCATCTTTCCTCAAAATCGTGAGTAAATCGTTCTTGTGTTTTCCCAAATTTGGGAGTAAAGAAATGTGCCACTTTTTTAATTATTATTTTTTTAGTGCAAGAATCAATTTAAACCGAGTTTTCGTGAAAAAAATCTATTTACATTCGCTTTTTTTAGAAAAGAAATTTAGATTAACCTTTTACAAAAACTAAAACCAGATTCATTGAGGTAGAGATGAATTTAAATTGGTTTTTCGCTCGAAAAGTTACGCAGAATGAGGTTAAAAGAATTTCTTTTTAAATTAATGTAAACAGATTTTTTACGCAAAATGAAATCAGATAGATTTTTCACGTAAAATGGAATCAAATAGATTTGTTGGTTCAACATGCGTAATCTATTTCAAACTGTGAATACATTTAAAGTTCTTTAGAAACAAAAATCTGCTAAATTAGATTTGGAAAAAATGTATTTAGATACCCTTATTTTAAAAATGATCTGAAATGAATTTTTAAAAAATCTATTTTTTAATGCATTTTTGGGGAAAATCTATTTAAACCTGGCCTCCGATTCATCCTCTTTTTCCTCTATTTCCTCTTTTTTTGTGTAGCCCTCTTTTCTGTCCTCTTTTCAAGTCAGTTTCTCTCTTTTTCAACTTTTTTCTAAGAATATTAAAGAATAGCATCAAAATCTGAAAAAAACAAATAGAAATTACCTTAAAAGAAAACATTATACAGAGATAACTGTTTTGGAGCTTCTCTGTGTTACAAACTGAAATTAGTTACAAAAGTTTTAGAGGAAATTTATAGAACACGATCAGGTACATAATTTTGTAAGGTCTGATGAATTTCTAGAATTTCAGAATCTTATGAACTTCAAGAATTTCATAATCTGCCGACTGTCAGAATTTCAGCTCATAACTAATATCGCCCGCATAGATGTGTGTTGTTCGTCTGAAACAAACAGACACTGCGAAACAGTTGAAATATTTCAGTGAGTGTGAAATCGAACGAAGAGAGAACAATGTCTCTGCAAATATACAGATGAACAAGTAAAACTGTGTGTGCGGGGTGAGGAGGCAGAGAAGATGGCTGTGAGTATTAATTCAACCAGCCAAGTACATTTGCTGAATGTAGAAAACAAGAAGAAAGAAAAACGAGCGTGACTGTACGCGTTTCACGGTTGTTCAAGCCGATCGTCAGCAGCCAAAGAAGGAAATAAAGACATGTCCTTTTGCTATTTTTTAGTAAAATATGGCATATCTGGTAATTAAACTCAAGAAAAATCTTTAGAATCTTGTTTATGTTACTTTTTACTCACAACATTCTGTTCTTCAAGTTTTGTTTCGTTTTGGTATCAGCGTAGATTTCGTAATACTGAATTGATGTCTGTCGAAATCTAAATCACCACAAATAGCGGTTTAGATCAACATAGATGTGGGAAGATCAGATCATGAGGATTCTGTAGTGGGTGGAAAGGTAGGCAAAAGCCTCCAGTTGCAAGGGGGAAAAAGCACTTTTTTTTAGTATAGCATCACAGCACCTTTTCGGCACTCTTGGCACCTCTTAGCACTTTTCGGCACCCAAAACTACCACTTTAGTCAGTCTATTAGTGATGTTCTCGCTTCGTAAAATTCAAGATGGTGGATGGTTGAAGGGATCGAATCCGACCATGACCTTTTTTTGTATTTTGATTCCATTTGAATAACAAATAAAGTATTATCCTCTTCTTAGCAGTATGATATAAGTGCAGTCAAACTTACTTCTACAAGTTTATTCGTAGGCAAATATGAAAAAGTAATAGTTAAACGGGTATTATATAGCACCTAACGGCACTTTTCACCACCCTAATCAACACTAGGTGCTGCTTTTCCCCCTTGTCCAGTTGTCTTCCCAAAAACATGTGGAATATGGTTTCTCTGGGCCCAAGTTTTGAACTGGCTCCTCCCCAATCAATTGTCAGTCAGCTTTTCCTGTAATTAAACAAGCAACACAGCAAAAAAATTACAGAAGATAAACTGGAATTGAACAAAAAAAATCTTCAAATAGAAATAGTTTTCAGATTACATTTAGGCTGTTTTCTTTTGGTGTTTCTGTTTTTGTAGTTTATTTTCCGATAAACATTTGTTGCATTTTATCTAGCATTTCTATTATGTGTATTCGATCTTCTGGATCAGCAAGATTGAGCGACGATGGAAATGCCTTTGATGGACATTTTGACAAATTTGGTGGTGCATACCTTAAGACGGGTGTCATTTCGCGCGGTTCATCATCTCGAAATACAACATTAACAATTAAATTTTCATTTAATGTAGCCTTGTAGAATGATACACGAGTTCCAATGACACGAATAAGAAACAATGTAAGACACTGAAAAACAAAATAAAAATTAGAACTATTTTATTCGGCGTAAAAAAGACGTACATCCAATGTTTTAAATTCAGAGTAACTTAGGCATAGCGTCAAAAAATTTCAGCACGGCCTGCCATCAGTTACTGCCACTGGTGCGAACCCGTACCAGCGACGAATCTGAATTCATGAAAACATTAGTTAGAAAAAACAATTTCTCACGTCAGGTGCACATTGAGGAGTTGACTGTAATGTTGTCTCGTGGCTAACAGTTCGTCTGCGCGAATTCTTAAATAATCAGAAACATTTCTGTTAATAGAAGTTTTCGAACTAATTATTCGCCTGGAAATAAATAGTGATACACCGTATTTTCGATTTATGGTCATGAAAAAAAGATACTTTTTTAGAAATAATGGCATATTCTGGAAGAGCTCGGAGTTATCAGTAGAAGTCGCAGATATCATCATCTGATAATATAATATATTGTTTGTTCATTACGTTCAAAGCTAGACGGAAATCGGCAACGACAACGAAATAGTTAAACTGATTCAGTCTACCAGACAATTACGTGGTGACTGATTGAACGGGGCAATAAATTGTTTGAAACGGGTATGATTTTAGCGGATCCTTCATGCAGTGCGGTTGTTTATTGATTATTTTCAGATCATGACAAGCTATCTCATGAAAACACGGGATATCTACGACGGTAGTATTTTCTAAAACCAGATTGATCCGTTGATAGTTCTGTGCTCCCGTGTATCGCGTATCATACAGACTGCAATGCAATGGATAAAAGGTCGCTATAATGTACCGATTTCCGTCTAGGCGATAATGTACGATCTGGTCTGGAAGGAAGGGTAGTAGAAAGGTATTGCTGATCGTAAATATGTCAGTCGTGTTAGTCCTTGCTATTCCACCGTGCCTGTAGATAATCATTTGGTTGATTAACATTCGGTTAAATAAGTCGAACAGTGAGATCGTAATTTCTTTGTGCCTCAAGTTACGGTATATCTGTGTGTACAATTCGCTGAATAAGTCATCTAATCGCATCGGATTCAAATATGCGAGAGACACTCGTCCATGATTAACTTCTCAAGGAAGTTGCTCATTATCATCATATTTAGTTGTGCTACTGACCTTTCTCCTTGTGTGGAGTTTATATTGGATGCTTGAATGAGCGTCCGTAATACGTCGATGAGGGTAGTCTGCGCGTGGTTTTGATGTATCATTGTGGATAAAATTTTTACATCGTTGTTTAGGCTGTTTGTTACGCATATCGCCGTGATGTTCAATTTATCATCTGACATTGTAAGGTGGTCATTCATTGTGCTTATTTTATTTTGTAAGTTGTGTATCTTCATCGAGTTCAGAAAAGTTATTAGACTGGAACCTAGTGTAGTGGCTATTGCGACGACAGCTGAAATTATGCCTATAAACCCTGTTTTACGTTTTTTGTTTATTGTCCGCATCAAAGAGGTAATATGATCATGGTCATTCGGTGATAGGAACCAGTACAATTCCTCGGACATTGGAATGTGAATATTAATTAACTCTAGGCGATCCAAGTGTAAATAATTTCCGATATCTTCTTGACTATGCCTAATGGCAATAGGCATTGTTCTTTAACACAAGAGTCTAACGAACTGTTCGAATGCGACGAAATGACATTAAAAAAAATAAAAAACAGCGCAACAATATAAGTATATTCCATTAATACCTGAAAGAAGACAAGAAAGAAACAAACACAAATAAAGATGATGATATGATATATATATATATGAATCTTAAGCATGAGAATGAGGGAGAAAAACTTGAGAGGTTCTTACTATGGGTACGAGAACTGTGTATGGGTGAGGGTGGAGAATGGAAAAAAGAGTTAATTATTACGGTCAAGTTTAACTCGAGATTATGTCTTAGATGCTAGTATGCCGCATGCGTACTTTTGCCGTGCTTAGTGCGCATTATAGAAATTCTTAACTATTAATTGATCAAAGTCGTTTAAAACTTTTGATAATAGTTATATAATAATAATGAATCTTGTTATCATTTTAGCTTCTTACGTAGCATTTTAAAGCATCTAAGTGTACCCACTCATAAGGTCGATATAGTTTGTATATCAAGAAGTTATACATTCTTATGAAGATTTTGACCTGAAGAAAGACAAGAAATTTTATTTTCGCAATGGATCTTTTCTTCACGCAATGGACCACTTGTTTCAGCATGTTTCACCCGATTTTCTCTTCGAGAACACGATTTCAGGCACAGTTAGGGTTTGAACTCAAAAGAAGTACACAGCAATTTTAGTTACATATTTTAATTTTCTCTCCCAATTGCTCCCAATTGCTTTGAATAAGTTATCACCTAACTTATTCAAGTTGTCGTATCACTATATATGCGCCTGTACTCACTTTTTTTTGTTTCCACAGATGTATCTTCTTCAAATATTCTATACTGGAAAAATGAATAAGAATAGAGCCGTACCAAATAAGGAATATCTCTATCTTTTCACTTCTTAGCAAATGTCTCAAGTTGCAAAGTCTATAGTTCTAATATACCGTGTTCTTCATTTTATATGGTAAAGATATTTCTTCGTTATTTCAGTTCAAACCCTAACTGTGCCTGAAATCGTGTTCTCGAAGAGAAAATCGGGTGAAACATGCTGAAACAAATAGTCCATTGCGTGAAGAAAAGATCCATTGTGAAAATAAAATTTCTTGTCTTTCTTCAGGTCAAAATCTTCATAAGAATGTAAAGGACAACTTTCATTACTCTGTAAGCTCTGGTACTTTTACTGAAGCCATATTAGCATTACGATTTCATATATATAGAATCTTCAACTAGGTATATGAACACTTTTAAAATCAAAATGGCTTAATTTCTAAACTTAATAAAATCACTTCATCTCTAGTTACATCCGCGCTTTATTCTTGCCGCGATTATGTCGCGGCCGCGAATTTTGCGCGTTCCGCGAAAAATTGGCGATCGCGCCGCGTTCGCGGTTAAGATCACATCGGGTTCGCGATTCAAGTCAGATTGTACCGCGTTCGCGATCCATATCGCGTCACGTTCACCTCTAGATCGTGGCGGGTTCGCGATTCAGATCGTGGCGCGTACATAATTTAGACGAAATTGCATCGTGTTCGCGGTTCAGATCAGATTGTATCGCGTTCCTGGCTGGGATCGCGTCGCGTTTGCGACTTTGATAAAATAAAAGCATAAGGAGCTGATATCTAAATGGTTTCTTACGCTTAGCGAAAGTGAAAAATGATTTTGAAAACAAAGTGTTAAGGTAGTTAAGACACCGATTTCACTATATTTTACCCGGTTTTCTCTTCGAGAACATAATGAAATCAAGGTGAATCATTCACCTCAGACTTGCTTCGAGGTTGAGCTCAAAATATGTACACAGCAATTTTTATTTGTGCATAGTGACATAGATATAGTGCATTTTTTGAGAACGATCTTTTTGATCTACACAAAATGCCTGAAGAAACTGCATGATAGTAAAATTTATATTTCAAACAATTTATATTCTCTCACTCACTGGAATTGCTGTGTACTTTACTTTGCAAATTAGTTACTTTTTTCTTTGATTTTGCTTTGAAACACTTAAATATCTTTTGTAGTTCTTTATCTTTTAGAGTTCTTGAAAAACTGGTTTTCCAGAAAACGGGATCTTCAAGAGTCATGGCCCGAACCCTTTTAGGATTTTCTTAGTCTCACTGAGTCCTACTTATAACCAAAATATGGAGTCAAACGGCGTCCGACAGTTGGATAGGTTCCCTCGTTAGTCATCGGACGAAACTCATACCCTAAAACTATTATTGATGCTGTGAAACTGAATATGAGTTATATTATTCATGATTCATGATAGTATTATTCATGATTTGAATATGAGTGTCATAGTATGAATATGAGTTTCGTACCATAGTATTCCTGCCAGTTTCACAGCCCCAATATAGTTCCATGGTGCGAATATGAGTTTGATAGTATAAATATGACTTTCATGCCATAGTATTACTACCAGTTTCACAGCATGAATATTAGTTCCAGGGTATGAATGTGAGTTGCGTGGTATGACTATCAGTTTCATGCTATGAATAAGAGTTTCATGGTATAAATATGACGTTCATACCATAGTATTACTACCAGTTTCACAGGATGAATATTAGTTCCAGGGTGTGAATGTGAGTTGCGTAGTATGACTATGAGTTTCATGCTATGAATATGAATTTCATTGTATGAGTATGAGTTTGGTGGTATTAATGTGAGTTTCACAGCATGAATACTAGTTTCATGGTATGAATATGAGTTTCATGGTAGTAATATGAGCTTCGCGATATGAATACGGGTTGTTCATGGTATGAATATGACTTTCATAAGATAGTGTTACTATCAGTTTCACAGCATGAATATTAGTTCCAGGATATGAATGTGAGTTGCGTGGAATGACTATGAGTTTCATGCTATAAATATGAGTGTCACGGTTTAAATATGAGTTTCATACCATAGTATTGCTAACAGTTTCACAGCCCCAATGTTGGTTCTATGGTATGAATATGAGTTTCATAGTATAAGTATGACTTTCATGCGATAGTGTTACTACCAGTTTCACAGCCTGAATATTAGTTTTGTGGTGTGAATATGAGTTTCATAGTATCAGTACGAGTTTCATGCTATCAATATGAGTTTCATGCTATGAACGTCAGTTTCATGGCATGAATATGGGTTTCGTAGTATAAATATGACTTTCATACCGAAGTATTACTACCAGTTTTACAGCCTGAATATTAGTAATTAGTTTTAGGGTATGAATGTTTGTTTCATGGTATGAATATGAGTTTCATACTATTAATATGAGTGTCATGCCATAGTATTACTATCAGTTTCGCAGCATGGATAACAGTTTTATGGTATGAGTTTCATCCGATGACTATGAGTTTCATGGCATGAATATGAGTTTCATAGTAAGAAAATCACTTTCTTGTATGAATATGAGTTTAATAGTATAAATATGACTTTCATGCCATAGTATTACTACCGGTTTCACAGCATGAATATTAGTTCCGGGGTATGAGTGTGAGTTGCGTAGTATGACTATGAGTTTCATGGTGTGAATACGAGTTTCATTTTATGAATATGAGTTTTATTGTTTGAGTATGAGTTTCGTGGTATTAATATGAGTTTCATATCATAGTATTACTGTCAGTTTCAGAGCATGAATACTAGTTTCATGGTATGAATATGAGTTTCATGCTGTTGATAGGAGTTTCGTGATATGAATATGGGTTTCGTGATATGAATGTATTGTTCATGGTATGAATATGAGTTTCATTTTATGAATATGAGTTTTATTGTTTGAGTATGAGTTTCGTGGTATTAATGTGAGTTTCGTATCATAGTATTATCAGTTTCAGAGCATGAATACTAGTTTCATGGTATGAATATGAGTTTCATGATATTAATAGCAGTTTCGTGATATGAATATGAGTTTCGTGATTTCAATGTGTTGTACATGGTATGAATATGAGTTTCCTGGTATGAATATGAGTTTGGTAGTAAGAATATAAGTTTCATAAGATGCGTATGAGTTTCATACTGTGATTTACAAAGTACAGAACCCGGCTCATTTATTCTTCTTTTCCAATAAACAAGTCTTTGCGGAAATGTCGACGTATCAATAAAAAGCTGCCGAAGTCATTTGATCAAATACCGTCATATTGTCTAAAGAGAAATCGAATATCATAGTAGGAGAACCAGAATTTGTTAATCTGTCTTAAATGCTGTTAAGAAAATGCTTATCTTTTTGTGAAGATAGTAAGCCTGATAATGAAAGAAATTGGATGTCAGTTGGAGTAGATGAAATTCCGTATTGTCTTGGTTGGAAGCTGATGAATAGAAAATAACTCTGTGAAGTATGTAATGATGATTTTTTTCTTTCAAACAACTTCAACAACATTACAAATCTATCCGTAAGTTTCAAGTACTTTTAGCCAACAACAGCCAACAATTTTTGGTGGTATTCCTGAAACTTCACTTAAATCTATCATTTCTCGCTTTAGCAAAACGATTTAGGATGCACGACTCGACGTGATAAAGGTAAAGACAGCCTGATGCAAACTCTTATTGTTTTTACTGCTGGAGCTCCAAGAAAATCTGATATCATATCCGAACGGCTGTAAATCAAGGCATTCCCTTTACTTCCATTTTGCAGAGCACATTCTGAGTTATCGCTTGTGTAGAGAAAACACTAGATTACCACTTACGAGGGAACCTTTCCAGATGTCCGATCGCTTTAGAGTCCGCTCTATTTTTGATTGATATGATTTATGATACTGATCAATACCCTAAGACGGTCTGGTTGAGTGCGGCTGAAAAATTAGCTTTTCAAGTTTTTCGACAAAATCTCATTTTTCCGAAACTCGTTTTTACTTGTGGACATCTCCGATCAAATGCTTTTATATATTTCTCTACTTTGCCGTTTCTAACAAAAAAGTATAAAGTCTCTGCGATACTCCATCGCAAAGCTATATCAAAAATAAAATGAATGCAGAACTTTTGCCTCACCAGTTAGCAATTAAAAAGTAAAGCTAGTAAGTGACTTTAAAAATAATGTAATTATGTCAAATAGAAAAATCTTTTACGCTATCAATAAATACTTGCTAATACATGTTTCCCTATTAGCTAAATGTGAGTTCGTCAAATGATTTATTTAGATAATTTCATCTAAAACTTATATCTTAATTGATTATTTTTAGTTGGTAGAATAACAATAATTGGTCCTTGAAATAGATCATCCATTTCTTCTAATTTCCTATTTTTTGTCTCAGGGTAAAATAAAAATACACTAACAGCCATAATAATACAGAATATACCAAATATCAAATAAGTGCCATACCAAATGGTTGGTATCAGAAGTGGAACAATAAATGACACAGCACAATTTGCTGCCCAATTAGCAGCTGTTGTCAGTGATGTGCCTTTAGAGCGCATTTGTAATGGAAATATTTCTGTGGGATATATCCTGAAAAGTACAAATAGACAGTGTCGAGTGAGTTCATAATTGAAAGTCCTAAAATTGTCTTAAAGCTTTTTGATTTCTTGTCATAAGTTGTTGTTTTTTTGTTTTGTCATTATTTTGTATGGGGGACCGAATGAAGACGTTTTGAGCGAAAAGCATTTTTTGACTTGTTATGACTGTTCTCGATGGCCTGATGGGTTTTCTCTTAAATATATTCTCCATTCTACAAAACTGATATTTCAGAAAATCGAATGCATTTCTGTACGATCTAAAATCTGGATTTTTTTCTCACTGTAAAATACTCAACAATTCTATTCTATTCTATCTCAATAATTACTACAATATTGATATGCTCTTTCATTTCAGTTTACCAAATTATTCTGAAGAAATTGAAATAAGTAACGCTTAGTTAGCTAACTTTATATACTCCTTGAGGTTTTCACTTTTGAATGGTTAAAAGTATCAAAAAAGTTACTGTATAAATATCTATCCCAAAAAAAATACCTTTCGGCATTATGTCCATTACATGTTCATCAGAGAAATCTTCTATAAAGAACAAAAAGAATAGTCTCGAGTTTTGCAAAAGTCTTGGAAAGTTTTGATACCGACACTTTTATATCGAGATTCGAGATTCGGGTTAAGAAAGCTGACGTCTGACTTTCTTTCGAGTAACTATTATTATTTTTTCTCACTCTCGCAGAACAGTTCATATTTTACGGATTGCAAGTTCATTGAGCATGTTGTTAGTATCAGAGTTGGAACCGGCACCCTAACCGGTCAACCGGCCGGTTACCGGTAAAAAGAGGAAAAAAGCAGTGGTTTGCTGTAAAGATTGTTGGCAAAATTTCTTTTTTCACCTAGAAAATACCTCTTTTTTGTCTCAGTTTAAGAACTGGCGTTTGCAAGCCGTTTCTGCTTTGCTTTTCTTTAATAAAAACTAAGTTTTTCTGCCTACCGCTCTAAAAGATTTTAGGAACCGGCCGGTTGTTCACCGGTTCAACCACGCTTTTCAATCGGTGTCTGATCGGTCAGTCCGGTCCGGCTGAATCAGTCGGTTATAATTCTGGTTAGTATCCGATTTTAGAGTTGGAGTCCCACCACTGGGTCTGGCTCCAGCCGGTTCGCTTTCTTATTCAACTGACCGATCTGATTCAGCTACAGGAAGTCAATCGATTTCAGCTCCGTTCTGTTTGATACAGATAGTAGTTCAAGTCTTGAGGAAAACAGTCTTACCATCCACATGGTCCCCACGAGTATGCAAAACCAGAAACAAATACGTAGACAAAAATAATAATTGTATATCTTGCTCCGTCACCTCGAATTGCTACGCCGACATTTGCTAGCTTTGTTCCATACGATCCCATCACTCCACCGATAATCAACATTGACAAAGACATCACACATGCACCGGATATCATCGTTAATCGTCTACCTAATTTATCAATAAATAATACAGCGGGTATTGTTGCCAGAATAATGACGGTTCCATTAATTCCAGTAGCAAGAAGAGTGCTCGCCGTACTACCAAGACCAGCTTGTCTAAATATGGTTGGTGCAAAATACATGACGCTATTGATGCCAGTTAACTGTTGAAATATTTGTACAAATACGCCTAACAGCAAACGACGACGTAGCGGATACCGTAATAAATCTATATAGGATCGTACAGATTGTTCACGTTCCATTTTAATTTCATGTTTTATTTCTTCGTACTCTTGGAGAACACGTGGATCTTGCTCGTCTCGATAGACCGTGCGAATGCGTGCCAATACCTGAATGGCTTCGCGGTCACGATTGTGATCCAATAACCAACGTGGTGAAAATGGGAAAAAAATGATACCAATACCGAGAATTAGAGCTGGAACGATTTGTAACGCTAACGGCAGACGCCATGATAAATTATTAGAACCGGATAGAACAATTTCTGTGCCTGACAAATAAAATTAATTGACTATGCAAACAAGAGAATATGCCAAATTTAACAAAAATAAAGTTTCCCTTTTCGGCTACTTTCGTATAACTTTTCCACATAAATTACTTAGGAAGATGTTTTCAGGTGATTTTATACTAAAGAAAACCGTTAATCTTCTCTCATATTAGAAAAAGGGAGACAGGAGAATGATTTATTTTGATGCTCATTATAAGTCAATTGCGCGGATATAAAATGCGAATAATACAATAATTTCTTACTCTTCTTCTAACTCCAGTTAAAATTTTAAAATTTTAATAGAATGGAAAAAGAGAGCATTTTTTTTTACTACACCATTCTTGTGGGAAAATGTCGGATTTTACTACCACTAAGCAGTGTAGAACAAAAGATATTAACTACTGTAGAATCATAGAATAAACTACACGCTTTGCCTACCATAGTTAATCCAAAAACTAACGGCGATTCCAATAGTGATAGCCAATTGTTGAAGTGAAATTAATCGACCGCGTATTTCTTTTGGTGCTATTTCTGATTGATAAACTGGAATTAACATTGACAATGCTCCCACAGCAATACCTGTGACAGTAACATAGAACATGCCAGAATAATGAAAGGTAAGAAAATACATCAATCCTATTTAATAGCATGTCAGATCTGACAAACGCCGAGAAACAAGTACAACGGGTCAAATTTGAACCAAGTAACAAAAAGTTAGAGAAAAAGAATATTGTTATTTTACAGGTAATGAAAGCAAAATATCAACAACGATTTAATTCATCTTAAATTTAGTATAAAAGCAAGATCAGTCTCACTTTTTGGTGAAACTCCTCTCATTGTAAAAATGTGAGTACGAGAAAGCTGCCGATAATCGAGCAAAATCTAATCGTTCTCTTCCAAGATCTCTGTTTTCCCAAAAATGTTGTCGTGTAAGAACCTAAGGTCTTTTTATCGCTCCTTTTTTAGTTCGAAGGCGACTCTCTCTATTCACTCCTCCTGAGAGCTACATTTAAACTTTTCTCACGAGAGACCATTCCAAGGTGTCCCCTCCCTTTTTACCCGAAATATAGCTGATTATAAGTAATCGACGATGCTGATTCCAAATATGACAGCCATTTGGGCTCTTGTTGATCTTTCAAAAATCCAAGATTTTCTGGAAACTCTACAATCTAAAACTTTCTCTAAAGCAGTTTTAACAATGCCAGATTGTAGAGCATATGGATTTGTATATATACAATTTTTAACTTTGCCGGACGCGTTTTAACTGAACTGTGAGTTTATTAATTTCAACTGGTGGGAACAGTTAATTTTTTGAATGACTTTTAGCACTTCTAAAACATGTCTGATGCAACTAAAAATTGGTGGATATACAGAGGTGGACATTCCTTGTAATTTGATGGTGTTAAAATACAGTTTTCAAGAAAATAAAATTTGAACCCTCGAAGATTGAAGGGTCTGTCTTCCAAGTATTGAACTAAAAAAGAATTAAGAGCCAAAATGGCTATGGCATGGTGGGTCAAGCTATGGATGCTTAAACTACATGATATTCATTAATAAGCTGTATACAGAATAACAAAATTCTCTTAAAGAAGAACATGCATAAAACAAGATACTAACAAATACTGTTCTCTAACCTGATACGAATCTTGATACTAATAGCATTGTCAAATTAACTGAGGCTGTTTGAATAATAGCGCCAATAATAAATACTATACAAGATATTACAATAGAATATTTTCGACCATAATGATCTACAATAAGACAATCGAATAATAAATAGTTTTTTGCCACTAAAGAAAAAACAAACCTCCAGAAGGCCCTGAGACAAGTGCACCGAAAAAACATCCGGCTATAAGTACACCAACAATAGCACCATCGACTGAACTTTCTAAATTTCCATTCGTGACAGCTTTAGTACCCCCAAAATAATTTAAGAAATCTTTCATTACCAAAATACCACTTATAACTCCGGTATCATAACCGAATAAGAAACCACCAATGGCAGCAAAACTTCCAATTATATAAACTTGCAAATTAATGGACATTTCTATTAACTAAACATACATAGAATTATGCAATTAAATGTGACAATGGCTCTAATAACTCATAAAATATTTTAATTTTTCTGACTGAAAAAGTAACACTTTTCATTAATCAGTACTCACACAAATAACTCGAAAGAAATTATGTCAAGTTTGGTGATTCCATCAAGATAAGTTTTACATGCAGAGATAATTCAACACAGATCGACATATTAAATATTTTTGAAGTCTCTGACTAAAACGTTTATGCAAAACTGTCGTAGGACTTACAATCTTAATTCTAGTTTTTTTATCTGAAAAATTGTAGAATAGGATTTAGTTTCGAAATAAACATGAAAAATCGTGTGTGATGTTCAGTAAAAATAGTTTATTTTTTATCAGACCTACAGTTATGTTGAATAGAGAGAAAAGAAAACAATAAAAATTTCGTTAATTTCATGGCTCATATTACAATCACTATCATTATCAGTTATAATAACCTTCAATAGGCAAAGAAATGATTGTGTATTTTTTCTTTGTTGTACTCAGAATAAACAAAAAAAGAAAAACTTCATGAGAATAAGTTTTTAAGCGATAAACAAGCAGTTGAAGTGTTCGAGAAACATCTCTATATATTTTCAACAAAAAGACGAACTAGACGAACTGTATAATATAAGAGTGATATAAATGACAAACTGTGCATCTACCACTCGTTTTGAGTATCTATGTCTAACTGATGTAATATTCGTGTTCCAGCAAAAGAAAAACAAGAGCATGTTGCTGGTAGTCTTATTCTGCGATATAAAGCAGATATAACATACTGTTGTACCTTACTCGTTCCTCCAGTCATATATAGGACATGGCCATAATGTATCACAAAGTTTTGGAATTTCTTACGAATAGTTTCAAATAGCTGGCATCGTCATATATTGACTGTGACACGACATTTCTGTAAACCGACATTACCACGACTCTTCTTCAGATTTTTCATAGTATACATTTGGGTATTTGTGGCCGTGTGTCGNATTATACTAATCATACACTTGACTAATAGATTAAGAGCAGAATAATTTAAATAAAAACAGTTGTAACCGGCTACTTCAAGATGTGCGACGAAGAAGTTTCTTGTGATTCAATGATTTTAGTGTTTTGCCACTTAGAATGCTTGCGCTATTCTTTTTAAAATGCTATTTTATTTTAAAGCGATACCTTTTTCTATGCCTCAATGGATTACTTGTAACACACGATAATGTCTCAATATCATCATTCGTTTTATGTTCCCTGTTTCTTCAGTTTAACACATTTTCTGCAATAATTTTCCGCAATAATCAGAATGTATATTACTTTCATTCCATTTTTTGGTAAATGAGGCTACAACGAGTGTTTCAATTTGTAGTAATATTTGATGAAAATATTTGTTTGACGATACTATAAGTTATAAATCCTTGTGCAAGAAATAATGACTAAGCCTTCATACAAACCACGTTTTTTCTATGCGCAATCTATTCATTTCTTGCCAATTACCAACACTATTGATTTTCTGTAAAATCATATATTTGAGTTTTTTAAATGTTTTACTATGTCAGAAACTTCCGCTTTTGGATCTAACATAGAGTGCTATCTTGGAGAATCACATACGTAAGTAAATTTATTTGACGTGAGCGTTTGTTGAATAGGCAAAACTGGAAATTTAGAAGGTGAAGAGATAGAATCGATAGTGGTCTATGTTTCATCGGTATGTAATATGGCTACTTCTTAATACATAGAATTATCTGTGACTGAGATAATGTCTAAATAATACTATTATTTAGAAATTATCTCAACATGCTGACGTTTGAAACGTCAGCATGTTGATCAGGTCGTCTTATAGCAAGTACCCTTTCAAAGCAATTGATAGTGATTAAATGCATCTAAAAACTTCAGGGAATAGCAATAAAATGCCCCGTTTTCCAGGCTTCGATTTTCTCGTTCGCTTCAGCTGATAATGGTAAAAAAGACTATGTGATTCATGTAAGTAAAGTTATTTCGATATTCATCTTTCTTCAGAAAATATTCTCTCAACGACCTGTGCGACGAAAGGTAACGAGTGTGTGACAGACAAGTCCGCGAGCTCGATCGATCGGCTTATTTCGTTTTTGACCAAAGTCCAGACTTCGCCAACAAAATTAGAAATACAAAACGTTTTATTGTAAATCCTTCGAATGAGAATGTATTTCTCGAAAATGTTCTCTACCAGAGGGGTGTCAGAAAGAAAAACAAATGTGCCATATACAGTTTTGCACTCTGAATCGAATGGTATTTTCAGAATATCTTCGCATCGAGCTGGTGCACAAACTGAAGATTATCATAAAAATTAGACTAGTACATGTGTACTTTCTACTAACATTCTCTAACACAACTATGTCACAAAAACTAAAACGTGAGTCAGACAAAGGTTTTCAGGCTGAGGCCAATGGACTTTACAGAATTAAATTGTGATCAATTTTTACTATCAAAACATACAAAATACCACTACAATCTCTTTATCACCAACAAATGAAGCAATATTAACCGTAATATTTAAACCGTAATAGCCTTAATTGTTTATAAGATTAGTCAGTAAAACACGTTTTCCTGCGGACGACAGCAAGAAAGTGTATTATCCTGTTCTATACGTTAAGAAAAAAGAATCATCCTCTAGATAAGTGGATCAACAAACAAACGATTTTAACGAAGTACATCCGGATTTGAAAGTTCTAATAAACTTAAGTAGCATGCTATTTCTAATAAAAACGATCCACTTATACAGTAAGCTAATGTACGATATAATTGTATACCAATAATACCGGTATTATTTAAAATTGATAATTTATTCCAGTTCGATATACCACCAGCTAAAAAACCTATAGTGCTCCAAAATCCTAATGAATTTATCCAAAAACCTAAATTACATCGATCTTTTTTACAAAGTCGTATAAAACCTTTATAAAACCTATGTTGTTCACTATCACCACCCAATATTGCCAATAACATACCTAACATCATCAGAAATGGTGCACATATAAGAGGAAATTTAATTGTCCATCATTGTTTATTAAAACCATAAGGTATGCGTATAACTTGATTTAAAAAATTGGCAGAAGCACCAAATACAAAAATCATGGAAAATACTAAACGTAACAGACTACACCAAAAATGAAGATGATATGGACGAAAATCCATCAATTTATATTTTGGTGGTGTTTCATTATTCAGTTCATTTTCATTTTTGTTCGATTGATTCCAATTATGTAAGCGCATATCAAAATCTGTATTAAGCATTACCCAATATTTCATAAAGGATCCGATAACAACAATCCATAATCCAATAACTGCAACTGTACAAGAAATCCAGTCGTACAAATTATGACCTTTATATGGTTCATATCGTTGTGGTTGTACTTTAGGCGATTTCTGGCTACCATTTGATAGCATAAACATTGCTATACCAATTAATAATAGAATAGATGAATAATATGATATTTTACCTTGAATGGTTGTATGAAATGGACGTGGATCTAACCAAAGAATCATTCATAAACGATGTACGGAACGTACTTTTCACTTCTTCCACACACACCCTTGCCTTGACTTATTGGTTTTTGCTGACCTCCTTCAGTTTATTTTATTATTTTAGTCCGCGCACATTATCACAATTTCTCATTCATTTCCTTTTTTTTTCGCGTCGACCGAAAAACAAAATGGCTCAGTTTTCTAGGATTCAGCTTGAATTGCCTCTTAAAGTTCGAGGCTGATTGGATCTTTTAATTTAAGATCTGACCCAATTGGAGTAGAGATGCAAAAAAATACGCTTCTTTTCGTTTGTTTGTTGTAATTCTTATCTGTAGCCAATGTAGAAATGCAACACCAACTGCACGCGGTCTCGAAGCTAATTTCATCCTTCCAAATACATGCGCAGAAAACTCAGAAACATTCGTCTGCAATTTGGAATGTTTTAGTGGCTCAAACTTTTTACTGTTTTAGTGGCGATCCAACTCGCAGTACTCAATAAGTACTCTGACCCTACCCAGCTCGACTTGACCCTCCAATTAGCCATGAAGCAGTCCTTTTTTCCGGGTGTTTCAGAGAAAAGAATGTTTTCGAAATTGTTTATTCCAATATTTGTGTGAAAGTACAGGATTATGGAGCAGATTATTCTAGAGCTGGACAGATCAAGTCAGAAATGGCTCAGGTCCAAGTCAAGTCTGAAAAAGACCTGACGTGCTCATCTCTGAACTTTTCTCTATGGAATGAGACATGAATGGGATCTGTAATATTGTTCACTAGGGAGAAAACGAGAATAAAGAAGAAAAAATCGATCAGTTCCAGTTCCAATTCCCATTTTTGTATAACTCCTCCCAACCAATCCGAAATTATACACTACTACCCTTAGCACTTTGGCAAGTTTGCAACGCGTTATAACACGCTGAGCTACGCCTATGGCGTTGTAGTGAGATAAATTTGTAGCGTTTTAATACCATAATTTAAGAAAAAGCATGTTTTATAGCGTTATAATACCGAAAAAAGATCCCATGGGCGTATGCACAAGATAAATAACTTTGTCGTGTTTTTTATTGTGTAAATTCCCTAGTGAATGCACTTAAGTGTGAGTACTCAAAAAGTACTCTACTAGAAAAACCGGACGAGCACTCATACATTTTTTTACTTACTGAGTACTCACATGAGTACTCATGAGTGAGTAACGAGTACTGTGAGAACGACTTTGAGTACTCATGCTTGGATATTGTTGAGTACTCATAGAACTTTCGGCAAAGTACTCATGAGTATTGTTCATCTGATAGTTTCATATAGAGGAATGATCTCAGGTAGCCAGAGTAGGACTCCCAGTCGAGTCATAGAGAAGTCTATCTCTGACTATATACAGAGAGACCAGTGAGAAAATAATAATATAAATATTCTGTGTTTCTTCACTAAATTCTACATTCTTTATACAGTTTCAGTTTAGCAAAATAAAACGGTGAATGAATATTTCCTGAGTACTC